GATTCTCCAATTATTATCTTCCTCATCACCCCAACTGTTCTGAATAAATTACACCACACAGGGAGTTATACAGCCACCTCATTTTTTTCCTTGGTGAGTGCCTATAATATAGCCTTGATAATGCTCTCATGAAAATAATGGATTTGGAAGGAGCTCCATTATGTGTAGAAATGTTTTTCTTCTACTTACTCGATTATTCCACTTTATAAGGACACCGCCTCCTTTTGTATAAAGTCCAACATCTTATCATTTATTTAACTTGGAAACTAAAGCTGACATTGCATAAACACCATGCATACTTAATGTCAACCAATATTCTTCATAAACTCAAATTAAAGAGTAACTTATCTTGTTTTGTTTTTGTTTTAAATTACACTTAAGTTAAACTTCTCACATTGCTGCAGTGATGTAGATCTTCTCTACAACCTGCCTCTGCCACGCACCAGTACCACGGGTCGGGGTCCCAAACCGCTCACCCTACTCCACACAAAAACATCCCCCGCTGGCACTGCGACTCATGGGCCTACGAACTCGCGACAGGCACCGCCAGCCGTACCACCTCACCTATGCGGGACATCATCGGGCCGGCTGGGCTCACATCGACGAGGTAGACGGCATCAACCTCCACTCGCCAACGCAGCCTAACTCACTCGTCGTCTCCCAGTTAGGGGGGGCTAGTATACCCCCGTGCCCCAGCACTACGCTCACTCTGCCCAGCTCCCATGCTCCAGCAACACCGACCCTATGACCCCCCAGAGTTACGACATTTACGGTGAGAGATACGCGACCATGACAGCCCTCACAGTGCCCAAATGCAAACACACACATGCTGCCATTTATGCTCAGACTCTCAGATCCATAGGATAACAGAGGCAATAGTAGAATAACGAAGGTCAAATCAAGGAAAAGATACAGTACTGTTATTTGCCTCACTATCCTTTCTTTTCATGGTACAAGCTGTTGTGAATCACTGGTGTGTTGTGTGTGTGTGTGTGTGTGTGTGTGTGTGTGTGTGTTGTGTGTGCGTGTGCGTGTGCGTGTGTGTGGTCTAAATGGGGCAAAGCATGTGGTCTCTTACCACTGGAGGAACACAGGGTGTAATAGTCATGTTAAATGAGCCACACTCTAACATTTAATAAGAGCATACCATTGGGTAAAATGCTTCCAGCATAAGTAAGATTTTTTTTAATTTAATTAATAATGTTAATCACAAAGGAATTATAATGTCAGCTTTTGATTAGTGTAAGTGGTCTCATTATTTCTAAGTGGTATTGCCTGTTAAAAGCCTGTAACACATGGAAACATTGAATGTAAAACATAGTTATTACATTTTGTAAGCTGTCCAATAATGGCTATTTCATACGTTGTTTGAACTTATTGGAGTGGAGGATTTGTAGTGCAGGCTGTAAATATTTGGACCATGATACATTTTGTTTGTCTCTCGTGCTCAGATACTGAATCTGAAAAGAAATGACTGTGAGGCAGTGGTGTGTCATGGAGCGTAGCAAAACATAGTTTCCTGCAAAGATAACAAATATTAGCTTGTAGGGTATAAAAAAACAACTAATCATTAGTTAGTTTGCTGTTAACAATAGAATAGAAAACCGATATAGTAAGCTCTGTAGCTAATGAAAGGTGTTGTGGAGTTTAATATTGTAATTCTCCATGGTTTTGTTTTTGCACATTCATACAATCCTAGTTAGAGCCTGATTCAAGTGTGCAAACTGTAATGGCCAGTGATATTAGATATTTAGAATACAGTTAAGAGAACTTCATGCATGCTTCAAGAGCAGCGTTTAACGCCCCTCTGGTTAAAAGGTTTGAAGTCTGTTTCACTCCAACCACACCAGCAGTGGATGTCCAGCAGAGGGACACTCTCTGCAGTACGCTTCT